TGACACAGGGCTCGAACCCACAAACCGTGAGATCATGACCTGAGCTGAAGTGGGAACCTTACCTGACTGAGCCAGCCAGACGCCCCTGAACTGTTCATTTTAAAGGGAAATGGTAAATTGTGAAAACTATGAAAATTATGGTATAAGACAATATTTCAAGAAGGCTCTTATTTAAAAAACCAAAACAGAATGCTATAAAAAGGAACGTACAACTAGAACAAAAGAGGAGAAGTGTTTAAATCAAATACCCAATAACAGAATGGTTGGAAGATAAATTTGAGAAAATCTCCCAGAAGGCAGAGGAAAATTATTAAGACAGAAATGGGAGGAAAAGTAAGAAAATCGGAGGACTGGTCCAAGTCCTTGCCCAGATCCAAAAGACATGAGGGTCCAGCCTGAAGGGCCCTCCAAGTGCACTGCACAGAAAACGAGCACAGTCTCGTATGAGCCCCGCTGTCGTAAAGTTTCAGACAAACTCTGGGTGCAAAGAGAACCCAAGCTACCTGCACAGGATGAAGACTCAGGATGACCTGAGAGCCTTCAGCAGAAACACTGAATGCTGGAACACAACGGGGCACTGGCTTTAATGCTCTGGATGAAAAGGCTCCCAACCTGGAATTCTAAACCCCAGCACACTATTAACATCAAGACAGAACGAGGGTACCTCAAACTCAAAAAAAGTTTTCCTTCCCCACGTCTCTCCTCAGGCAGCTCCTGAAGGACATGCACAACTCAAGTGAGAAAGCCAGGAAAGAAAAGACGTGGTCTCCGAGAAACAGGAGCACTGGTGGCGAAGACGGAAGCAGAGCCCAGGGATGATGAGAGAGAGAGAGAGAGGTCAGGATGGTGAAGGAAGAGATGGTGAGGGCAGCCAGCCCGGGCTGCAGCAGGTTCAAGGGCAGAGTGCAGATGGCACTGGTACATGGTAGGCACAGAGGCAGCTACTCCAGTGAAAGTAAGACGATCGTTAACCCAGGGGAGACAGAAGGTTCTGCAGGAAAATAAAGGGTAAAGTGATCAGTTCACCACGTACAGTGGGCTCAAAGGGCACTTGTGGCCAAAATACGAACAAAACGTCGTCGTAATCACAAGTACAAAACGGCCAGTCGGCGGACAGGGAGCTGTCAAGTGGCATGGCACGGTCAGGGGGAGCGCACGTCCACCCTCCATCATCCAAAGTGCAGTCCTTACAGTGACGGAAACCAGCCAGGACAATGCGTGCGCGGTATTTACAGCCACAGAAACAGGGCAGTCGACACCCAGCGTTCACCCCTCGAGGGAAATGCCAGAAGGTAAGGGCCTGCCTTTCCTCACTGTATCTTCCAAATCCAGTCAACTCTAAGTGCCTCACACATAAAATAAAACTTAAAAATGAAGGAACATCACAGAACACACTTCTCCTCTGCTTTTGCCTTGGGCCCCCTCTATTCCGCTGAAGCTTACACAAGCAACTCGAAAATAAGTAAGTTTCAATTCTCCCTTTGGCAACACAATTGTTAGTGATGACCAGTGAATGTTCATAAATGTTTTAAGTTGAGGCAGCGAAGCAAATACACTGATACTGAAGCAAATACTCTTCAAAACTGCTGGCACATGAGGCCAGTTTAACAAACGTTTCAGATGATGGGCTCTATATGGGAATTAAATGACCTTCAGGTTTAAAGCAGCTACTGTCTGAGGAGTCTGCTTCCAAAATGATGGTCTCAGAAGAAACTTCACACCATAAACGTCATGAACTAAATCTATCCTACTGGGTAAAGATGCTTTCTGGAATGTGCCATGGGGTGACGGTGAATGTGAAAGGGCTAACAGCCTGCATCTATGAAAGTAAGTCACAGGGAACTATAGGTGTGCCACGCGGGCCTCACGAACACGCACGACACGGTGTCCCACAGAAACACAGGCAGCAATTCCTCACGGCTTTACCTCCCAACCACATCATGTGCAGCAACTGTGAAGACGGGGGTGTAAGACAGTGTAAAATGGCCCAATACTGTCCTGACCAAGGGCCACAGCTCAATCATGCTGAGACCTTCTAAGGTGCACAAGACGCTGCTGGCCATCTCCACGTTATCTGGCTCAATATGATGTTAGCCACCAGACAGACAAGAAGACCCAAATAATAACTAAATACACGACCCAAAGGCGAAGGTCCAGCCCCCCACATGCAACCAATGAAAGGCCAAGTGTCTTCCCAGCTGCAAAATGGAAAAAGAAACTGCACCTCAAAGCACATTACTGCTCTTATCATTTAAGTCACTTAGCTGACGTTATGGCATTTGTTTCATCATGTATTTCTTAGATTTGGAATTAATCTTCTCAAATACAACACTAACCCAATGGACAAACTCTTGAGAGTATAGCATTTCTACTTCAGGATTATATCCAAGTTTCAGAAAGCACTGCACATATCCCACAATACTTTATTAGTCCTGTGGCATCTTGCTAGGCTGAAAATCTATGATGCTCAAGTAACAGCAAAATAGATACATATATATGACATAACAGAAGTCTAGAACATTCAAGTATTCCTGTCAGCCACTTGGAGCCACATACAGCAGGCAATGGATTTTTTGAACAGGCAGATTCTTTAAAAGAGTGGAATTTCGTTCTGTTTGTACATGTCACCGGCAAAATCGAAATAAAGGTGGCAGCCAGGGCCTCTGACTGTCACAGTGCTAGGGAAGTGCCTTGTAATAAATACAAAGAAACACGAAGTCTTGGCTCCTCTCACCGGAAGAGCGCCTTTGAAGCACCGCCAGCCCCTTCTCCACCGTGTCTACCGGGTTCTACGACAGCCCTGAAGGGCGTGGGTCCCCTTCCCCAGGACCGCCCTTTCCATGTGCTCTACAATCTTCAGGCAGTAATTTCGGTCACATGAGAAATTGAAAACCCTCACTTTCATTCAGAGGTCCCAGCTCTTCTGCAGCTTCTTTTCAGTATTAAGAAAAAAAAAAAGGAGGATGGTATTGGAGACAACCCAACCCTGAGAGTCGGGACAAAAAGGCCCCAGCCCCGGCTCCGGCTGGCATTAAGTGCCCCTAGAAGCTTACCTAAAGTGTCCTTGTGCTGGGGTCCCCAAGACCACACCCAGGCTTAGTGACCGGCTGGAAGAGCCCCGGACCTGGCACACAGTCACGCTCAGAGCTGTCACTACCACACTTGAGGGCGCTCTGAGAGACAGAAACGGGAGCAGGCACGAGGGGAGAGGTCTATAGGCCACCTGGCACAAGACTCCGAGAGCCCCTCCCAGTGGGGTGGAGTCACAGAAAATGTGCTTAATGCCCCAGCAGCGAGCTGTGACAACTCTGTGCCGTGCTGCCTCCCGGTGTCAGCCGGGGCTGGTCCCACAGACACCCCCCCCCATAGCACTTATCAAAGTTCCAGACCCCCAGAAGGAAAGCGGGTATTGGGCGGACCACCCACTGCTGGGGCACACAGACCCATCCTTGACCACTCTTGGGGAATGACAGGAGGCCGCCCAAAAGGTCACTGCCAGCTGCCAGTCCAGATCCAGCCTTGCGAGGCCTCCAAGGACAGGAGCCTCCCCTGCACCTTCGAATCTCTAGACCTCAGTGTTCCCATGTCACTTCCCTTCAGACGGGATGCGCCAGTCCCACTGGCTGAGATGGTGCGCTTGGGGCCTGGGGCCACCTCAAGCCACGCAGCCTGGTGAAGCCATCCCAGGAGGGCCGGGAAGGGCTTCCGTGCTCACAGCCTGTCTCCCAGCGGTGATGCTGATGTCATCAGTAGGAAACCCTCCCCCTCCAGCCCTGCTCTCCCTGCTCGCCTAGGCCCTCCAATTTTCCCTGGAACACTGTGCAGTGCTTTCATCTTTGAGTTCGTCTTTCTCCTAAGTGTTCTCGCATATACTCAAAGACCAGAAAGCTGAGGCTCATAAAACACAGGAACCCAAAAAAAAAAAAAAATCGATTCTCACCAATTACGAGTCATAAAAACATGGAAATAGTTTTACCCCACCCACTTATCTTGCACACAGCTCAGGTGCCGTGGTGAGCAAGCCTGGGGTCAGGTAGGAGTACAGCCCTACACGACTGCTCACAGAACCCCTACTTTAGGGGACTGGGTCCACTTCCATCACATCCAATCAGGGGACATCAAGACAGCGGACTTCTGAGTCCCATTCCAAATTTGGACTCCCCAAACTCTGTAAACTCTTGTGAAACAGGGTAGAGAAAATCAAAAGGGGAGTCAGAAGATAGCGTTTCCGTGTACTCTTCCCAGTCACTTCATGTCTCTGGGCCTCTGGTGTGGCCAGGGACACGGTGACAGGCACTGAGAAGCTACTGCGCAAGCCTGGGCCAGCTTCCCAGGACTCACACATCACTCTCTCCCCTGAAGGAAGGGGGTGGCACAAGGGTTTAAGGTCTCTCCATCACAGTAACAATTATGGATATCCGTCTGTTGATTATGTTAAATTCTGACTACAACAGAGTCTTCTGTGGACTCAAGTCTTCTTGGATCTGATGAGACACGGATCCCCTGGCATTGGCCTCTATGTACTGAGATTGACAGAAAACTACCATTTCAAAGATGCCTTCCAGAATAACTATTTCTCTATTTCTATCCAGACTCATTCTGGAAAGGCTTCATTAATTCAAACAAACATATTTTAAGCACCTACTATACCATGCACCTACCATACAAATGCACAGGTGCTTTGTGCATACAAGATATAGAACTTAAAGAACCACAAGAGTGGTGAATTTTTCAACAGCACTCAATTCTAAACATACTTCTAAAATCAACATGTGGCATGAGACATGGCTACGTGTCTGGGGGGCAGTACCCCTCCTGAAAAAGTAGAATGCGAGGGGCCATGACATTTGATCTGGACGAGCTCTCCAACCACCAATCCTCCAATCATATATTCTTTGCATACAATCACCACAACAAATTAAGTAGTGCAAACCAAGATGTTAACTGAAAAAAAGAACAGGGGAGGGAGAGCAGAAGAAAGGAAAAAAGTCTGAACTCACCGGGACTGTGGTAATCCTTTTTTACTGAGATCTGCCCTCACACGTTCTCCTACATGTCTGTAAATTTCCACTAAGCTGTTTATTGCTGCATCTCGAACCTAGATGTAAAAGAAGAGATCTTACAGCTGCTCTGTGTCAACCCACAGCACCTGCTGCTGGGACGCAACAGGCTACACACCACCCCGAGTTTATCACCGATCTACCAACGTGACTGTGATACGATCCCTTACAGACGTTTGACTAGACAAAGCCACGTCTGACCGGCTGACGTTGTTGGTACAACTCCAATGAGTAAATTCAGGTCCCAACCCGGGGAGACGTGTCAAAAGTCCACGTCCCTTAGTTCTTTTGATTCTTTCAGATGGTGTCAGGAAACCGCGGTTGTCAGATCATCTTCCCCACACAGAAAACACTAGAAACAAGTGAGTTATGCTAAAAACAAAACACCATGTGAAAAGCGTTCTAGATTTAACTCAATAAAACAAATACTTAGTGAGCAGCAAAAAAATGGGTAGTAAAGGCTACACAGAGGCCTGGATTCAAGAAGCTAATAGTCCTAAAAGGAGATGGGCAGGAGGGGGGGAGAAGCGTCCATAAATTCTACATTTAATACAGGGCAGGATGTAGTACACATCATACAAGAGTATAAAGAGCTCACACAGTCTGGGAAAGGGAGCAAGCACACAGGTGGTACCAAGAAACGTTTCCCAGAAGAGGAAGGAACCACTTAAAATGTGCTGAGGGGATAGCAGTTTACCAGGGAAAGATGGAACAAGACAGGTTCCAAACAAGGCACAGCCTGTGCGCCAAGGTATGAGCAGAGGTGCAGGGCGTGTGCCTCAGGAAAAGGTGAGCGGCCGGCCACACACAGACATGAACTCAGAAAGCAGCAGGAAACAGGGCTTAGAAACAGAACAGATTTAAAACAAACAGAAACAGGGAAATATGCATGTGGACTGCCCATCAAACATTACCACCGTATCCAGGCTGAATTTCTTGCATGTGCAAACAACGGGCAGGTACAGGACAAAACACCCTTGCTACTGAGAGATACACATGGAGGGCTCTCAGCGTAAAACCATCATGTGTGTAAGATACTTTCAAATGGCTCAGAAACAAGAGTGCATTCTGCGTGTGGGTGTGCGTGCACACAGGGAGGGAGAAAACAAACATTAACGGGTAAATGCAGATGTCAGTACTAGCCCTACAATTTTTCTACAGATTCAAAACTTTGCAAGTAAACACATGGGGGAAAATGTTTAGTATGCTGTGCCCGGAACCACGGCCAGCCCGTGAGGGGGAAGGCGGGGAGAGGTGTCCTTACCTCAGCAGGCAAAGGCAGGGGCGCAGCATGATTTTGGATCTGTTCTCAAGCAAGACAATCAAGATAACAGAGAGAAGACAGAGGGAGGAAGTAGGGACACAAGCAATTCTCGATCCTGAACGGTGTTATGGGACAGGTAACCTCACTGAGAATTTTTCCCCTTATGGTGGGAAAGAGCAAACCTCGTGGACTGGATGTCAGTGTCCCCCCACGGCCCTATGCTGAAGCCCTAAGCCTCGGTGTGATTGCCTTTAGAGACAGAGCCTGTACAAGGGGGTAATTAAGGTTAAATGATGTCCCAAGAGTAGGGCCCTGGGACAACAGGACTGGTGCTTCTGTAAGAAAAGGCGCCCAAGGCTGGCTCTGTTCTCCACTCGTGTATGAAGAGGTCAGGTGAGCACACAGGGCGGGAGCGCTCTGCAGACGGGAAAGAGACCCCCCCAGAACCAGACCACACCAGCACCCTGACCTCAAACTACCAGCCTTCAGAACTGTGAGAAACAAATCTGTGTTCAGGCCACCAGATCTGTGGTATTCTGTTATGGTGGCCCGTCTGAAACACATGATCAGCTTATCTGGGAGAAGTACCTTCTGATGTGAGGTACCAGTTTTATACGGAGACATGTATACATCCCACAAGTCGGTAACGCCACCGCGTCTTGAAGGTCAGCGGTCAGCGCATCACTTGGCTCACTTTCTAATGATGCCACTGTTCTCAGCCAATCACCTAATGAGCAAGCACGATCTTGTCCTACTTAGAGAGTCTGGACCATCAACAGATTTAGTGGAAAAATTACCACCCTTAGGGTCAAAGTAGATCCGAGTACCCAGTTGGCCACTTAGGAGCTGTGTCATCCTGCATAAAATATATAAACTATTTTAGTCTCCATTTTCTCCTCTGTGAGCTGAAGGTTGCTTGGAGGGCCAGAAGAAGTAACAAATTCGTTCAACAAATATGTGGGTGCCTCTTATTTGCAGCTAAAGTGCCTGCACGGTGCAGGCAGGAAGCACGATAAATGAGTGGAGCAGGGTGCATGTATGATGACAAATGGCACTGGCAGGGACCCCGCCGGCAGAGGGAGAAGGGAACATGGAGGGTCGGGCACACAGGCTGCCGTCACCCAGCCTTGAGGGAACTCAGGGGCAGCTCTGCCCCACCTTCTCGTCTTTCAAGGGACGTTGGAAATATAACAAAAATAAAAACACCAAAACTCTAGGGGCGCCTGGGTGGCTCAGTCGGTGAAGCTCCCAACTTTGGCTCAGGTGGTTACCTCGCGGTTTGTGGAGTTCGGGCCCCGTTTGGGGCTCTGTGCTGATAGTGTGGAGCCTGCTTTGGATCCTCTGTCTTCCTCTCTCTCTGCCTCTTCCCCAGTCATATGTGCACTCTCTCTCCCTCTCTCAAAAATAACCATTTAAGGGAAAAAACCCACCAAAACTCCAAACGTGAAGCTAAATGTCGTGCGGACACATACACAGACACATGAGCCAGTCTGTTAGGCTGCAATCATGTTGTGTGTATACAACACTCAACACGATGGCTGGGGGAAGTGGTACCACCTACATGTCCTGAAACAACCTCCTAAGCCTTTGAACCATCATTCCTCAGGCCCCCAAAGCTACAGGGTCGGGCAGCATTTGAGGGTCTACAGCACCCTTGGTGCAGGAGATAGAGAGGGATGCATCTCCTCTCCTACTACAAAGTACTACATCCCAAACAAGAAGGGAAGTTCTGTAAAAATAACTCAGGGAGAAGGCACCACATCGTGCTCACTTCTACACACGAGGATAGGGCCCCATCCTGCTGTTGTCCAACCTCAGGCTCGCCATACAAAAGGAACCCCAACATTTGAGGTCGCTGGGACTCCAAGAGCCCCATATATTAAATGCCACCTGGAAGGTGCAAGTTGAATGCTTTACAGAACCTGACATCCTCAGAACTATGACCTCTCTCTCAGGACCACTGCTGATGGGGAAACAGAGGAGGCTGGCCACTGGCGGGGCCCCCAGCAGGAAAGACTGATGTCAAGGTGAAAGTAAGGGCAAGAACACAGACACGTGACACACAGTCACACGTGCCAGGAGGAGGACGGACTGAGCGCGGCAGTAGCAGAGAAACAGTGGTAAAGTTTCCCAGCAGGAGGATTCTGGGAGACATGGACAGAGCTCGTGTGTGGATGCAGGCATGATGTACAGGTAAACACTCCGAAGGCCAACATGGCCCACCCATCACCAGGAGTGTAGTCTGAGCACTCCGGGTCCATCTGTCTGACACAGACTTGTCAAACCTGCCAGCTGAGCACCAAAGTCATTGTGTCCCAGTGCTTGGTGTCCCAGAAGCCCACTGTGCGTGTTCACATCACCCGGGCAGCCAGCAGCAGTGTCTGGGTTACAATAAGGAGCTTCCGCTAGCCAGGCTGACGTTTCCGCTCGCCTGAGGGACACCATGTGACAGTAGCAATCGCCTCACAGTGTGACCTCGATGAAGGATTTTTCTCCCCCCACGGGAAGCAAAAATGGAAAGAAGGCCAAAAAGGCAGAAAAGGCCAAATAACCCATTTTGTAATTTAGAATTTTTTAACTTTCTTTTTAGTGTTTATTATTTTTGAAAGAGAGGAAGTCAGAACACGAGCTGCAGAGGAGCAGAGAGAGGAGACACTAAATCCGAAACAGGCTCCAGGCTGTGAGCTGTCAGCACAGAGCCCGACGCGGGGCTCGAACTTGTTAACCACAAGATCACATCCTGAGCTAAAATTGAGGTGCCCCTATAACTTAGAAGTTTAAGTTTCTTTTCAAATTAAAGTTGAAACAGAAATCATGATTCAGTAAATTAAAACGTGTCAAAATCCCAGGGTGCCTGGGTGGCTAAGTCTGTTAAGTGACCGACTCTTGATTTCGGCTCAGGTCACCATCTTGCGGTTCCTGATTTCAATTCCCCAAGTGGACTCGGTGCTGATGGTGTGAAGCCTGCTTGGGATTCTCTCTCTGCCCCTACCCTTCTCTCTCTCTCTCTCTCAAAATAAGTAAGTATTAAAAAAATATATATATCTAAAAATCCCACTTCCAGGGTCATATACTTTCAGTTAAGGCTGGACAGAGGAGGGAGTGGCAAGAGGAAGGGAGGGGAGGGGTGTGGTCAGCACACATACCCAGAGGAGGGGCTGAGCACTGAATGGAAGCAGCCGGGAGAGGGCACGTAGGTAAGAAAGGTAAGGCCGGAAGAAGGACAAGCGTGAGGGGCCCGAGTAGGGGGAGGTGCGGGCAAGTTGGCACATCCTCGCTGGAGGCATGTTAGCACCCCAGTCACAGCTTACAAGGCGAGGCCTGCTTACCGCGTGTACGTCTTTGGTGAACTGCTGCTGCGGTTTCTGGCCCCTCCACCTACCAAGAGGTTTCTCTGGGGAGTTCTGCACCCTAACTGTGATAAAAAGGACTCTCGGCAATAAACGACTGCTGGGAGACCCGGCACTTCTGAAGCCCAGGCTTGGAAAGTTCTGGGGCCTGCCCCATGACAGCCTCGATTCCCGGCTCTTCTCCTTCCCTCGCACTAAGGAGGGTGCTATGGTGTTTGGATTTTGAATTTATCTAAGATTTACATAAAGTACCATCCAGAGTTCGCTGGGGTTCAAGGGATTTCCAGTGACGTGCTCCACCGTGGTCACCGCCCAAACAAAACACAGGACACTTTCCATCCCCTCAGAACACACTGCTCCGGGCCCTTTCCAATCAACCCCCTACCCCAAGGGTCAATCCCTGTGTGACTTCAATCGGCATTGACCACGCTCTCCCGAGTCCACCCCCTTGTGGCTGGAGAGTGAGTAACTACAGCCACATTATCTGGGGGACTGGCATGGAGGACATCACTTCACAGGGCAGCGAGGCCTCAGCTGTACAGTGAACAAGGCGGAGTCGCCCCCACACTCACCCATGATCTCTTATAAATGCTGACGGGCATGATGTTAATTATCGGGAATAATAATCTGAGCGTGACAAACTTGAATCAAGTCCCGCCCATCGGGTACACACAGAACACCGAAAGGCATCCTAATGGTCTGTGACCAATATACTTCTTTCTCATCAAAATATACTCACCTGGCTGTTTGGATCTCCAAGTAAGTTACATATATGTGGCACGATCTTGCTTAGTGTTAGAGTGTGTGCTCCGGAGCTGAAAGCAAAAGGAGTGTTTTATTTACTGCTGGTAAGAACAAAGGGAAGAAACACTCCCCCTGCCCCCACCCGCCCCGGGGTCCTATCGTCCCCTCGTACCTAGGCTCTCCCTCCTTCCCATCTCCCCATCTTCCGCCCACCTGGTTCCGAAACCAGAGCACGACACAGACCTACTCTGCACCGGGTTCAAAGGAGTTCAGGCTGCCAGCTGGCGGGCCTTCTCCCTGGCACGCAGGGCTCTCTCCCACAGCGCTGACTGCCACACGCATACTGCCCTGCACTTTTCGGTCGTGCACTTCCAATTTCCCCAACTCCGCGTTCTCAAAAAGCCCCCTGAGGGTCCTCACTTAACCCCCAGCTGCGCTAGCTGCCGGCCACTGGGCGGGAAGATGCGGTGGCCGCAGAGGACCCAGTGGCAATGCCCTGCTGGACAGCACTGAAGGCCCTGCCGCTTCTCACCGTCACAGACATGGTCCCAAACTGCCCTGGGAGTACAGCTCTCTGTAATCTGTGTCCTCCTTAGGGCACAGGGTCCGAAGTGAAACTACTGTGATCAAAACTGAGAAACACTTTTGTAAAAACTCCAGATACTTCGGGCCACATTTAATGGTACTGAAAAGGCTAATGTATGGAGGGGAAAGTGTTACAAGGTGACATTATGTTATCCCAGTTTTGTTTTTGAAAATAATGTAACTCTACAGGCAGGACTAAAATACACCACAGGGTAACAGTGATTGTGTGCAGGTGGTAGAAATATATCGAATCATTACTTTCTTCCTGATGTATGGTTTCTGACATATACAGTATCACTTTTATAATCAGAAAGGGAGACTTGTAACTTTTCTGTTTTAAAAAATTTTGCCTCTCCTACAAATAAGCACGTGAAAAAATATTCCACATCAACAGTCATTAAGAAAGTACAAACTAAGGCCACAATGGGATAGCACCACACACCTATTAAAATGGCTAAAATAATAACAGTGTGGGCATTTGGTGCTAACAAGGATATGAAGAAACTAAATCATTCATATACTGGCGGGTGGGGATATAAAATGGTACAGACAACTCTGAAATAGTATGGTAGTTCCTTTTAAAACTAAAAAAACTAGGGGCACCTGGGTCGCTCCATTGGTTGGGCATCTGACTTCGGCTCAGGTCGTGATGTCACGGTTCATGCGTTCGAGCCCTGTGTGGGGCTCTGTGCTGACAGCTCAGAGCCTGGAGCCTGCTTCAGATTCTGTGTCTCCCTCTCTCTCTCTCTCTGTTCCTCCCCCACTTGCACTCTGTCTCTCTCTCTCAAAAATAAAGATTAAAACAAATAAATAAAAATAACTAAAAAAGTTTGGCAGCTTCTTTAAAACAACCTACCCCATGACGCAGCAATGGCCCTCTGAGGCACCGACCCTAGAGAAAGGAAGGCTTGTACTGCCGGTGGGGCGTGTACGTACACGTTCACAGCACCTACACTTGTACTGGCCAGAAAGCAGAAACTATTCAAACAGCCTTCACCACCTGAACGGTGGCACAAGTGGATGCGTCTGTGCTGTGGAATTCTACGTAGCAATAAAAAGAAATGAACTATTGTTTGGGAAACACCCCATATGCAACCTCAAAGGAATCAAGCTCAGTGAAAGAAGTCAACCTCAAAGGGTCACATTCTCATTCTGTAGGGTCCCACGTATGTAATGTTCTCGAAATGACACCATCGAAGAGACGGCGAACGGGTCAGTGGTTGCTGGGGGGTGGACCGCGTGAGGGATCCTGGGGTGCTGCGCAGGCCTGGGCCTTGCTGGTAGGGTGGTTCCCCAGAGCAACGTGCGACACAACTGGGCGGATCTGCACACAGCACTCCCGTGTGTGACCAGAGGCATCTGTATGCGCCCCTGCATGGCGTCGACGCTGATTCCCAAGTGCTGGCGCTGTGCTACCGACATGCAAGATGTTAACACTGAAGGACCGCGGGCAGGGGCCCGTGCGACTTCCCAGACTATTTCTCTGCCACTTCCTGAAATCTAGTTACTCTCAAAACACAAAGTTAAAAACAAAAATGCTGAGGCGCCTGGGGCAACAAAGTCAGTTAAGCGTCCGACTCGATGCCGGCTCAGGCTATGGTCATGTGGTCACTGACAATGCGGAGCCTGCGTGGGCCTCTCCCTCTGTCTCATCTCCCCTCTCTCTCCTCTCTCTCTCTCTTAAAATGAACAAACTTAAAAAAAAAAAGATAAAATAACAATAAAAATGCTTGGCTGGGGAAACCCATGGACCCCACCCAGACTTACGCGCTGAGCGTGGCAACAAGGCAGAGGCACGTGCCTTCCCGAGTCCGGAAATTCTTGTGCTTGAAGCCCCCCAGCATCCGGTCCCACACATACTGCAGGTGACAGAGGGCAGGGGAGGAGAGAAGGAGCCTTCGTTTACTACAGGGCCAACAGGAGAGGACCTCTCGGAGATGCCAGGTCAGCGCAGCCCCAACTGAGCCACTGCACCCCGTCCAGAGCACACAGAAACACTGTGACTTATGTCTGTACACCAACACAGAGATTTCCCGAACACACCTCTTTATATAACTGCCCGTGACTATCCCAAAAGCTCCGAAAGAAAAGTGTGACCGTCCCCATTTCACGGGTGAGGAAACTACGGCCAAGAGAGGTTTGGGTGACATGCAAAAGATCCTCCTAACTGCTCTCCTAGTCCAGGACAGCTGTCCCCATTGTATCCGCAAGCCACGCATCTGCTCAACTTTTAACACGTCCTGGGCTCTACCTTCCCTGGATGGCTTTTTCTGACCCCTCCACCACCCCACCCCACCTGCTGGGCATTACACAGCTGAAGCCTGGAAGGCAGGGCTGCATCCCCTTGTACATCCATCCCCACAGCCCCAGACAGGAATGAGGGCTCCAGCCAGGCCTCCTGACCCTCCAGACACCAGGACCTCCTCTTTTTGGAGAAACCGAGTCAGTTATACACATGAGCTCAAGAATCTAATGGATTCAACCAAGCACTCAATACTCATGTTAAGTCCACTGATTTATTCAAAGTATACGCTTTGCTACTTATTATTTATTTAAACATCCTGTATGGGGGGGAGGGGAGGGAGGCAGCTTAAATGCTATGGAATTTTTCATGTGAAACACAGCAGCTTTTAAAAGAAATCCTTTTGACACGGAGTCACCAGTGGCATGGGAGCCAGACGCCCCCCCCCCCTACCTGGGGGTTAGCAGCTTGATCCATGATCTTCAGCAGCAGAGTCTGGTCTTGCTCTCGCACAGAGTCCTTAGCATCTCCCAGTCTGTCTATTAAACTTGGCAGCACTGAAAATCAAAATGCAAATTCATCAGATGAAAGCCTTAGGGGGGACGGGGAGGGGAGGGAGGAGTCCTGCAGTCACCAACCAGGTGTTTCAATTGCTGGGAAGACAAAATGCTGGCCTAAATGCTGTGTGTCCATCTAAAACCACCAATCCGCAGAGTTCTACTCTGCCCGCTAAAACCCACGGGAGCCGGTCTGAGAATCTGCAAAGCAGACATACTCGTCTTCCTTAGCCCACCCTCCTCCAGGCAGCTCCGAAAGCATTTTTAAGCTGGTGAAATATTAAAATGGATATCAGTGGAGGACCCTGGCAGAAAGTTGTCAACACAAAAGGAAATTTGGGTAAAAGAGGGGGTCCAGCATATTCCCGGAGGGTAGAAGGAGCAGGTACTTCAGACTCCATCTCTCTTTCATCTACACTGTGAATTTACATAGTATCATGCGTGTTTATTAGAGGGAGTCAAGCCCATCCTCCACACGCCCGGGTGTGGGCCACCTGCTAGTGCCCCAGGAGCATTTACCTACCAGAAGTCGGCTTACTTTACTTCTTCTAAGAGTCTATAAACCTTTCTTTTACAAGAGATATTCATGAACAATTCAGCTAACTTAGGAGGAAAATGGAATGCTATGAAAATATAAAATGTCTAAAAGTAAGGGAGGTTTAGGGGCGCCTGGGTGGCTCAGTCAGTTAAGTATCTGACTTCGGCTCAGGTCATGACCTTGCAGTGTGTGAGGTCAAGCCCTTCGTCGGGCTCTGTGCTGACAGCTCATAGCCTGGAACTTGCTTCGGGTTCTGTATCTCCCTCTCGCTCTGCCCCTCCTCTGCTCAAGCTCTGTTTCTCTCTCTCAAAAATAAATAAACATTAAAAAAACAAGTTTTAAAAATAAATAAATAAATAAATAAAAGGAAGGTTTTTATTTACAGATAGATAGAGGATTAGTGCCAAAATGGAAAAGAGTTTTTGACCTCATCCGAAAGAGCACACTGACCAGGAAGTTACCAAAAAATAACAAATACACATGCAGTGACTGAAAGGGAGCAGTTCTTTAAGGAAATGTTTGTAAACAGAGCAGGTTGATGCTTATACTGTCGCAAAATCCCAGCGGTCAGGAATTGCGAGAGAAATGACTGTGTCATCTCTAAAACGAAACCTGTGCTTATTTTTTATTTCATTTTGCTGACATATGGTTTTCCCTCAAAAATAAAGAGTAGTCATTTCACATACACTTGTAACAACATTTCCAATCCAAGTGAAAATGCTAACACCAAGGATAAAGACCTGGAAAGATACAACTGTATCAGATGTGCAGGCCTTCTCGAAGTGAGAAAACACAATGCCTCTTCAAAGGGGCAAATATGATTCGCTTGGCACTGAAAAGTGACAGATAACCTGTGTAAGAAAGAAAAGAATGGGCAGTAACACTGTGTATTCAAACACGAACACAGAAGCAGCAGCGGAAAAAAAGATGGTAAAACCAGAAAGAGTGCGCCTGCCAGCAGGTGCGGGGAGGCCAGTGGTTCCGGGGTGAGCTTGGGAGGGAAGCGGGACCTGGTGCAGCGCCAGCAGGGGGAGACTGAAGGAGAGACCAGGGCGGGGGCCTAGGGCAGCGGGAGGTGGGGGCGCCAGCTCTGAAGGGCTAAGTGGAGGCACTGGGGAGACTAAGCGAAGGCCGACGGCTGGACGACGGAGAATGCGAGGGCCCGCTCCACACCTACCCACGGCTCACCTGTGCCAATCTGCGCCTTGAACCGATCCTGCAGCCGGGTGACCAGCGCAGACAGGATGTCCATGCCGAGAAGAACCACCTGCAAAGGAAAACAGCGGGAACCCGTTAGCTGCCGGCCTCTGGGCCTGCGCTCTCGCCCACCAGCTCCCGGGATGCCCCCCTATTCCTGGCTCAAACGCGGTCCGTGAGGCCGGGGAGCGCATGTCGACGGCAGAATAAACTGGTTATCAAGAGGGCTGCTCTGGTACGCAAAGAGCTGTTCACAGCTTAAACAGAAAACAGTCGGTCACATGAAACGAAATAAAAAGCCACAGCGGGGCTACATGCAGAGGGCCAGCGGACCAGCAAGGAAGCCGGAGCCGCTGCCCCGCCCCCTACAGCCCCGCCCCGACGAGGCGTGCGTATGCAAATTACCCGCATCTGGCGCGCGGCCTTCTGGGTAAAACCAAGCGGCCACGTCGCGACCTTCAGAAGCCTCAGGAAACAAGGAGTTGGTGGTTTGCTTCGGAAGCTGTGCTCAGTATATAGGTACACTAGCTACCGGGCTGCGAGGCCGGGGGTTGAGGATAAGTCACCCCAACCCTACCCGGTATTGGCGTTTCCTGCTAGCAGCGCACGCACAACTTTCGCCAACCATCCTTTTCTTGGGGTTGCGCTACTGTCCAATGAACGCGTGGTGAGGACAGTACTGCTAACGCCTAAACAACACACCCGCATCAACTAAAGCTTTGCTTTATCTTGGTGCAATTTTTGGAAAAAAGAAAAAGCTCTTTTCCACGACTTATAAGTTCAAAAACAGCCCGAAAATGAGTATAAGTCGCTTACCGTAACGCCAAACTTACCCTGTAGATGGCGCTGAAGACCTAACATCAGCTGGATATTTTTGTTTCTTGTAAGTTTTTCGCTCGTGTCCTTGACTACCAAAGTTTACTGAGCCCAATACTCGCTTTGCAGACCTACCGGCGTTTTATGGGCTGTAGATAATCCCCAAATTTGATTCACAAGATCCACTTTTGTGCTTAAATACACGACCAGAAATGATGATCCTCCCTGCTCAGTAGGAAGCAGTGTTACTTCCTGCACCATGATTAAAGACTGAAGGTAAAGTCCAGTATTTTACAGACCAAGCAAGGCTAAGGCAAAGATAATCAAGCAAAGACTGCAGGCTTTTCTATTCAGATTGTAATCCACTGCTTCAAACCCACCCATTATTCAGGACATAAACTGTCCTATGAAAGGGGCTGGCACCTTGAAGATATCACAGGAAATAATTCTAAATTTTTATACAAAGAACAGGTTTTTTAAAAAATATGGAATGGTATATACAACATTTTAAAATGGTGGCTTTACTTACGAGCTAAAGAGGATTAGGTATCACACTCTGACTTCCTTCCGAAGAGTACATTATGGGAGAAACCTGACAAACATCACCTCAACCAAATATCAGGGTCAATAACAACAGTCACAAATCATGTTGACATATATATGCTGCGATGGTGTGATTAAAATGCCACTTTACATCCTCAAACCCCATAAGCCCAATTTAATCATAAAGAAAACATCCAATTCCCATAGAGGGACATCCTACAAAACGCCTGCCCAGTACTGACAAAGTCATCTACAACATGGAAGTCTGAGGAACTGCCCTAACCTAGAGGGGTCTGGAGACACATGACAACTAACTAGTGCGATATCTTGGGTGGGACCTGGAACAGACAAAGGACAGTAGGGGGGACAGGTGGGGCACTCTGAATAACTATGGACTTGAGTTAATAAGAATGCATCAATACTGCTTTATTAATTGTAATAACTCTACCATAATAATGTTAATATTAACAGAGAGACTGAGTGGGAAGTCTCTGTACCATCCTGTAATTTTCCTGTAAATCCAAAACTGTTCCAAAAACAGCCCATCAATGAAACAGAACTGGCTTTTCCCTGATGAAATCCTGAGTATGGCTGATTAACTCGTTGGAGTTGGGAGCATTATTCATTACAGAAATACTTCCAGTTCTCACCACATCCCTTCATCACTCATTCAGGACTGAGGCCTAGGATTATTATACCTTAGTTCTGAATGAATTCAAAATTCTGTCAGATATCAGAGCACTTATCAGTTAAGCTACCTGTGGAGATTGAGGGAGCACAGACTTTTATCCTTTCCAGGATGGAGGTTTACTTCGTAAGTTTGACCAGATCATGCCTAGCTAAATCCTACAGAGTAAATTTCAAAAAGTCTAGCCCAGATAGACGAGGAACTCCAGACTCCCCAGGAGGCTCACGTGGCACACGCAATTAAGGCCCAGGGAAACAGACAGAACATAGTCTCCGGCAACCTCACAGCAGAACCGACGACTAGGCTTGGGAAGGACGCGGCAGGGTTCATATATAGTTGTCTAGCTCACCCTGAGTCACAGCCCCAGTAGGCAAGAAAGGGAATCGCCACCCACTAACTTATCTTCACAGCTCAGGCCTCGCTCCTATGTTTCCATTTCCCTCCCAAAGAAGGGGACACTTGAATAAAGTCATTGCCTAGAAGATCACAATTAGTAGCTGGGAAGCCTCTCTGTGCCTGTTTCCTAGCAGTAAAACGGGGACGACAGTGACAGCTACCTCATAGGTCGCTTCGTGTGTCAAGTGCTTGAAATGGTGGCTGGTGCAAGGTAAGGGCTAGATGGCATGCACACGCTATTACCGCCCGGCTCACTGTCACTGCCATTACGAAGTGTGCATGCAGAGAGAAAGCTGCCAGGATGGGGACTGAGAGCTTAAACCAAGGTCAGGGCTGGGAAGTCGCATGAGAGGCGGCTCCTAAGGGGCTTCAGACATGTCTGGAAGATGATGGGACAGCCACTGGAGAGCCGTAACGGTAGAGAAGAGGTGACGGTGGCTGGACCAAGGCACGGTGACCAGCATGGGGAAGGCGGGCCTGGGAGAGACAGGGCAGAGGCAGGGAGGAGGCTGGGCTCACGCCCAGAACTGAATGTGTTTCTTTTTCACTAAGCCATTAATTCTGCATTAATTACCTTTGAGCACCTCCTTCACTATTCTATTTAATTTTCTGAGTTTATGCTTGATATCACAACTAAATTCCTTACATGTAAGGAATACTATGCCTTGTATTTTGTCTAAATTTCCATAATATATATATAGCATGATGGTGGTAACATGGTGGGTGCTTGATAAACCCCTACTTTACAAAAAGCAAAAACAAAAAACAAGTTACTTTACTAACTAGTAATGAATTAGTTGAACAAATGAGAACAGATGAGTTCTCAAGGTCCAACAATTCCTTTATCCTACAACTTTAAAAACATGCTTTTAAAAGCAGGTAATAGGGGCGCCTGGGTGGCTCAGTTGTTGGTTGAGCATCCGACTTTGGCTCAGGTCATGATCTCACAGTCCATGGGTTCGAGCTCACGCTGGGCTCTGTGCTGACAGCTCAGAGCCTGGAGCCTGCTTTGGTTTCTGTGTCTTCTTCTCCCTCTCTGCCCCTCACCCGGCTCGTTCTCTGTCTCTGTCTCTCAAAATAAAATAAAGATATTAAAAAAAATTTTTTTTAAAGCAGGTAATAATTGCTAAGTAACTCAGACTCACCCTCATGCTGGAAACAAAATTGCTAGCTAAATTACAAAAGAACATCTGGTTGGAAACATCAAAGAACTAAGAAGGCAAAGAAAAGTTACCAGGTCATGAAACAAGGAAACTGAAATCCAGAAGGAAGAGCCGGCAGCAAATGCTCCACTTCTGCCCTTGGCCATGCAACAAAGACACTGAGAATTACTCTCAGTATCCGTGTGGGTCCAGGAGAAGAACAAAGATTGGATATTAAAGCGCCCAACGGCTGGTGGCTTGGATAGCCCCCCACAACTTGAGTTAGAAATCCAAATAGATATATCTTAGGAGAGTGAGCTGAAAGTAAAACCGCCTTCAGATGTAACACAGATTAGCTTCCAAGAATCTGGATAGCCCAAAAAATGTATCAATCCTTGACATCAGATGGAAATGATCTTGGCTTAATGGTACCTAAAGCCCCAGGCAGATGAAAGCACAAAGCACTGTGGATGGAGAGAACATCATCCTAATCTAGTCCTCAATTCACTTCTTTTTTAAATGTTTGTTTATTTGGGGGAGAGAAAATGTCAGCTGGGGAGGGGCAGCAAGAAAAGGAGACAGAGAAACTCAAGGCTCAAACTCATGATCTGTAAGATCATGACGTGAGGCAAATCAAGAGTCGAACGCTTAACCAACTGAGCCACCGAGGCACCCCCCTTAATATACTTCTTTAAACAATTTTCAAATACCATGTCCAAAATACAACCAACGATAACCAGGCACACATGATAACTACAAGTGAAAATTAGCAAAAACACAGACACACTATGCTTGTGAAAATAATTAGATATTAAAATATTAATTCTGGGGCACCTGGCTGGCTCAGTCAGTAGAACAGGTGATTCCTGATTTCAGTCATGAGTTTAAGCCCCACGCTGGATGTAAAGCTTACTTAGAATAATAATAATAATAATAATAATAATAATAATTCTTACTATATGCAAGAGGATAAAACACATGATTAAAATTTAGGGGAGAGAAATTACAAATTTTAAGAAGTGACATCAGGGCTCCTGGGTGGCTCAGTTGGTTAAGTGTCAGACTTCAGCTCAGGTCATGATCTCATAGTTTGTGAGTTTGAGTCACGGGTTGGACTCTGTGCTGACAGCTCAGAGCCTGGAGTCTGCTTCAGATTCTGTATCCTCTTCTCTCTCTGCCCCTCCCCTACCTGTGCTCTGTCTCTGTCTCTCAAAAATAAATAAATGTAAAAAAAAAAAAAAATTAAAAGGAAACCCTGCCATTATGTTAAAAAAAAAAAAAAAGTGACGTCAACTTTTAAAAGCACCAAATGATACAATATCCAAAATTCAGTACTCAATGGATGGGTTTAAAACCACACAGAAAACTAAGTCTGCAGAAAAAATCCACAATGAAAAGGCAAAAGGATGAAATATTAAAAAAAAAAAAAAAATAGGTAAGAGACAAAGAATAGACAGAAAAGAACTAACAGAAGTTCAAATGGAG